GGCCAAATTCCAACACCATCTGGTGCTCTGGAGGACCAGGGAGGGTTGTGTGACAGACTAGGTTAGGTCTCAGCCCTTACTGAACCATGTGTGAGCTGGGTAGGGGTATGGAAGAGCCATGGATGGGTTGAAATATCCAACAACAAGAACCAGCTTGGGTCGGAGGCCAGGCAGGAAAAGCCACTGTTCCTCCTAGGATAGCAGGCGAACTGAGTAGTGCCGGCTCATGGACCCACTGGTATGCGCGAAAACTGGCATTGGGAGAGGTTCTGGTGGAGGAGCCTGGGCAACTTCTCTGGCAGGACACAGTCCCATGCAGGTAAGCGCAAGAAGCACAATAGGGAACAACCCAGAACAGGCAATGAAAATTATCCCACTGGCATACACATGGCATGGGTTGGGGGCAGACCAGCCTGAATCTGTTCACATTACCTTCTGGTGAATCCGAGCACCAGAACAGAGTGTGGGCCGAGCCAGGTTCGGTTGCAACACATACCAGTACACAACAAGTAATGCCAAGGTGAGATGAGCCGTACCAGATGTGGCTGCAGCACACAAACAGCACATGTGACAATCAGGGAGGAGGCAAAGCCAACAGGGGAACGTGGGCACCCCTGCTGGATAACTACTTCCATTGGAAAGTGTGAATGCGGATGGGGGCAGTTCAGACTAGGCAGGGCTATAGCACCTGTGGGCCTCACGGTGAGCTGACTGTTCTGACTGGTGCAAGTTAAAATTAGAGTGGGTTGAGGGGTGTTTGGGCTTAGCCACAGCGTTAACTGGCAGAGGCTGGTACTAGGAGCCAATTCTGACAAGTCAAATGCCAAAACTACCTGGAGACTGCATACTCTGGGAGTGGGTGTGGCCTAGTAGGGAAATAGTGGGCACCTCCCTCAGGGTTACCACCCTCACTGGACAGCATGAAACCCAGGCTAGGAGCAGGGGTGGCTTGACAGAAAGGCACCTGCCAGTGGGTGTATGGGCTGGATAATAGGTTGGTTGGGTTGAACCAGGCTTCAATGTCCATTGACGTGTGCGAGAGCTAATTGGGATGTGGGACAGACTGGACAAGCCTGCAGTGCATACTGGCAAGCATGGGAACCAGGGTAGGGGGCAGAACTGGTAGGGGTTTTGGGGAGTCGCCCCAACTAGGCTGTAGCTCCAACTGGTTTGCATGAAGACCGAGTATGAAGTGGGTAGAATCGAGCTGGACTACAACACCCATTGGTTCACAAGGAAGACAGGGCTGGAAGCCGAACGGACCCAGCAATCGCAACGACCAGCATATGCATAAGCTGATTGGTGTGACAACAGTGTTGGAGTCTGTACTAGCAAACTCACTCAAGAATCAGATCTGGGATCAACTCAGATGAAGTTTCTTTGGATATTTCTCGAACTGAACTGCTGATCTTGGAACCCCAACCATCAAGAGACTGTCAGCCAGTAGACTCTGAATAGGTTTCATTACGGTTGGGACGGAGAGATTGGCAGCAATCCAGAACTGATGAACTATCAAAACTGTATGAGCAGGACCCTTGGAGTGCGCCTCATGTTGGGGATCGGGGATGGGTGGGAGGTAGGGTGGGGCTTTCCCCTTTGTTACTCCCCTAACCCTAGATACATGGCAAAATGATTATATTAGCGTGGAAACAATGATATTACCCACTTTCACCCTGTAGCCCGTGACCCTTTGTACCCTAATAAACTAAGATTATTAAAAAAAAAAAAAATTTAAATGAACTTCACTCTAGTTATTCAATATCACCAAAGCATACTGAGTCAGTGCATGTGTGTTATATCTAATTCGAGCAAACTGAAATCAATGAAATGTTAAATTGAAAACATGTAGCAATAAATGATATTATATGCAATTGCAATTCAAGCCAGGAAACTAATACAACTATAATCCTGGAAACCCATTCATACATGTGCTTCTATGATTCATAAAATTGCTGAATTCCTTAATCTAAGATAAATATCATGAGGAGAAAGCTTTCTTACCATTACACTGAGAAATAAATTGCTTCATCCAAGAAACCAGAGAGAATGATGCTCAGCAAGCTATGCCTCTGATGTGAATCCATAGTGAACTGAATCCTCAAGATGTGTTTATACTGAGGGGATGGTACCCATTAATTTCCCTGCTGACTGATTATTATCATTTAACTTGTAAAAGCAGGACAGTTTTGGCCTGTCATCTTTAAAAGAGTATCCACTCAAGGGAAATGTTTAAATTTTCTGGTTTCTGGCAGACATCAGTGGAGAACATCTGCATTCCACACTTAGTTTCCCTGCTGATTATTCTCTTTTAATTTGTAAAACCGGGACAATTTTTGACCTGTCATCTTTCGGAGAGTATCTACTCAAGGGAAATTTGAACTCCCCTGGTTTCTGGCAGATATCAGTGGGGAGTATTTGCATTCCACTTTTATCACCTCTGGACTCATTTCTCCTGATAGGCCTGCCTGGGCAGATTTCTGCTCTCAGTACTTGCTAACAAAGAAAAAGGGTAAGCTTGATTCATGACAAGTGCAATCCACAGCTGATTTCTCAGGGGAGCCCCACTGTCCAGGAGACTCATGGGGGATTCAAACTGATTCTCATCTGTGGATTTCAGGGAACAATAAGCACCTGTAAATCAGGAAAAGCTAGCTTCTCCCACTGGTCCACAGGAAGGATATGTTATCCAACCAGAAACATCCCTGGCCCAGATCACATACATTGACGGTAGAATGCAGGCTGCATTTCCATTTCCAAGGTAACACAGTTCCCTGGGACAGAAAGGGTAGAATCCCTTTCAACAGCACAGAAGATAAAGCTCAAATGCTTATTAAAGATGCAACACCCACTCTTCTGTGCTGTGAAATAACACCCTCCGTTCGCTCTGCAAGTGTCACTTACATTCACCTTGTTCCATACACTAAGAAATAAAGAAACTAGACTACTGGCCATGCTCCACAATCATCTCTGTTTGCCCCTTGCCTAAAATTGAATATTTTACATGAGTGAAATAACTACATCTTTGATCCCTTTTAGAAATTCAATAACTCCTGATTTAAAAGTGATGATGTTGTTCTTTAACTCATTATGGTCCAGTTACCCATGTGAGCTCTGTGAGGAACAATGATACTAGTCTATGAATGCTGGTTTTTAAAATGGAGACTTCTGTAGAATTAGACATGCTGGGTTTGTCCTGTCAGACTCACGGTATAAAGCTGCTGCTGCTGTCCTTCATTTTAATCATTTAGTTAAGAGGATTACTATGTCCCCATTATGCAATGTGTAATTTTTTGGTGAAACATATTTCTATATAAATGTATGCATGTGCATGTGTAGTTATGTGTAAATGAATTCATTTATTGAGAAGCCAAATCCATGGATAAAAATATTGAATTTCTATCCACTTTTTCACTCCCACAGAAGGCTTTGATATCTCAGCCTGAGGCTGCATAATTCTGTGACCCAAGAAATTCATCCAAATGGCTTCTGTAAGTAGCAAGCACTAAACTACATGATGCCTCAGTTGCTACCTTCCACGGATTATATTACTCAGAATCAGAAATCAGACTCATACACAAGATTCTAATGCAGGTACTTAACAAGAAGAAGTCAACATTCCAACCAGAATTTTAATATTAAGTCAACTATCATACCACCACCCAAAATATCTCCTCTATGCAAAATAGAACTATATAACATATTCAGTGTGAGCTCCTTGCTGCCAATGACTCACCTAAATACATCCTCTGAGTCTAACTGAAATGCTGTGTCTTGTAATCAACATTTTGCAATTCCAAATTAGTACCTCATGCTATGCAACGACCTCTGGAAATCGATCATTTTATTATTGTTGTTGTTCTTGTTATGTCTTTACTAAATGAGCAGGATAGCTTTCTAGGGTGAGTGAGAGAATCTTCACAGATTTGCCATTTCACATTATCACTGAAAACAAGAACATTACTGCACGAAAATATCTGCATTACTGCTGGATCCCCAAAGAGAACTACCAGACAAAATAACCTCAGAGATCAGTGTTGGAAAAGAAATTACTTCAAATGTCATAACTGAAAAGACATCATTAATCACATTGGAAGTGAAGACTGGGATGGGATGTTTAAGAAAGGATAAGAGAGGTAAAACTGCTCAGTCAGCAATGGAAAGCATTGTTTGAGTCTGTTTACTTCACTGATTTGTCCCTAACACCTGTAACAGTATCTACTACATAGCAGGATAGGTTTTGTGACAAATTATTTAGTGAACATAGTATTGGTTAGAGAGTAGTGATTACTTCCTGTGAAACATTATACATTAGTCTCTGCCCAAGCAATTGGCATGTATTTTAGTCTTTGCCTTAGCATTTTGCCCATGCTTTTCTTTCTTGGTTTTTAGAACACCTCTACTCCCATAAGATGTTTCTCTGGTTGCATTGAAATGTGGCAGGGAACTGGAAATGGATGTGGTCATGCACTGAAGCAAACCAGATGGGGTCACCTTGACATAATAGTATGCTGTTTTGAGAACAGCTCATTCCCAAAGACGACCATCACTACCTCCAAGGATAGATTTCCATCGTAGATAATCACCCAATGTGAGGATCTGCCTCTAAGAGATTTCACCAAAGGAATGTCACTACCTAGGAATAAGTATCCATCACATAATCTGGGATATACCTAGATTGCATTCCAAGCATACTTCTACATGTCTGTATGTGATACAGTAACCTCATGCCTGGGTATATATCTTAGGATATTTTAAAGTGTAACTTAATATTTATTGGAACATTATTCACAACATTAGAAGGTGAACTCTAGTCCCTCAAAGTTGAATGAGAATTTAAAAACGTTATGTATCAACAAAATAGGAAACTGTGAGGCTTTAAACAAAAGGAAGTTTTATCATTGACTGCATGATGGAAGTAGGAAATGCCTTAGCAGTTGAAATAAATCAAAATCAGAAAAATTACACCGTGAATTCAGCTGATATATAAGAGGGTATGCGTTGTGCTTGCTTTGGCAGCACATATACTAAAACTGGAACAATACAGAGAAGATTAGCATGGCCCCTGTGCGAGGATGACCAGCAAATTCATGAAGCATTTCATATTAGTTAAAACAAACAAACAAACAAAAAAGGGGGGGGAGTATAAGTCAATGAACAAGACAAAGATTTAAATCATAATTAAGACCAAAATCCAAGCAAGGAATCCATCAGGAAAAAAAAAATCAAAATTTTGCATGAAAACAGGGATAGGAAAAATTGGAAGGTTTACACAGTGATATGAGATTTAGTATGTATAAAATATAGAGGCGCCCAGCACCATAGTGTAGTGGCTAAATTCCTTCCTTGCACCTGCCAGCATCCAAAATGGGTGACCACTCTGACCCCAGCAGCCTTCAAACAACTGTATTAATGAATGTTCTTGATAACATTAGGAAAGAATGAGTATCAGGTATATCAAAACAAGTAAAAAATTGAGTTAGCAGATTTTCTGCTCCTGAATAGCAGTCATTGTTACTGATCAAGATGATAAAAATGTCACAGATGGATACTGCATGTATCCTCACATCTTACTATGATTGTCTTCATTACAGAGTTGCTATACATCCCCTTAAATGAAACACCACAAAACAAAATAATCAACAGGAAGAAAACATGAATTAACAATGTCAAGAAGATACATAACATGCTACTAAATGACTCATGTCACTGAAGAAATGAAAAAGAAAATCAAGATTGTTCTTGGGCCTTTTGGTGTGGCCTAATGGCTGAAGTCCTCACCTTGAATGTGTCAGGATCCCATATGGGCATTGGTTCTAATCCGGCATCCTGGCTTCCCATCCAGTTCCCTGCCTGTGGCCTGGGAAAGCAGTTGAGGACAGCCCAAAGGCTTGGAACCCTATGGCCTCCTGGGAGACACAGAAGAATCTCCTGGCTTCTTGCTTAGAATTGGTACAGCACAGGCCACTGCACTCAATTGGGGAGTGAATCATCAGATGGAAGATCCTCTCTATCTTGCCTCCTCTCTATATGTCTGACTTAAAATAAAAATAAACAATCTTAAAAAAAGAATATTCTTGAAGAAAATATTGGTACTGTATGGCCTTTGAGTCAGTGAATAATTTGCAAAAAATAAAACTGTTTGGGGGAACTGAAAATAAAAAAGAAATAAAAAATCTATGAGATACAGTTTTGGCTGCCCTTTCTTGGAAAGATATGTCTTCTATATGTGGCAGATAGATTTTTTTTAAATCCAGTCTATTAACCTATAAAATTGGATTAATAAATTTCTGAAGTTAATATGCATAGGTGATAACTTTTTCCTGTCTTTTTAGCAGAGGGCTTTCTTTGATTTAGTGTTTTGCTCTTATTTTACTGGAATAATCTTTACATTGCTTTTGCTATTGGTGGGTTCTATTCCTTTTCCCTCTCAAGAGGACATAAAGATTGAGTTTTATTTGTAGGGCAGGTCTAGAAGAAGCATTTCTTTCAGCTTTTTCTGAGCTGTGGAAGAATTTTCATTCATTGCAAAGACAAAGGAAAGCTTTGCTGGGTATGCTATTTTGCACCTACATTTTGTGATTATAAAATCTGAGTTAAGTCACTCAATTCTCTCCTATTACACATCATCTGCCATGGCACCTTACTGTTTTAAACAAATACTAACTGATTTAAAGGGGGAAGTAGACTCCAATGAAGTAATACTGGGAGGACCTTAATACCCCATTAACATTAATGGGCAGATTGATGAGCCTGAACCTCAGTAAGGAAACAATAGAACTCATTCAGAAACTAGAGTAAAAGGTCATAGTTGAGCTCTAGAGAACCTTTCATCCTATGGACAGAGAATACACTTTTTAAAATCGGTACATGGAACCTTCTCTAGGATTGATCATGTTGTAAGACACAACATTAGCCTCAGCAAATTTAAACAAATAAAATTACATCATGCATCTTCTCAAGTAATCAAGGAGAGAGACTAGAGACCAAGTAGGCAAAACACCAAGGAAGACATATAAATTATGGAGACTGAATAACATTCTATCAAATGAGCAATGGTTTAGAGAAGGGATCAAAGGTTAACCCAAAAAAATGTGTGAAACAAATGAAGGCAGCAGCACAACATATCAAAACCTAGGGGACATAATCAAGGCAGTGGTAAGAGGAAATTGTATCTCAATCAATGCATATGTTAAGAAAATAGAAATTATGATCTTACCCTCTTCTTGTAGTCCTTGATCCTTTGAGCCCTGATCAACTCCATAAAGATTGTAAAAAATTAGTATTTTATTGAATTTTATTGAATTTTATTTTATGCACATGGGAAACTCCTGGATTTGGTACCCATTTATTTCACCCAAGAACAGTTTAGATTTAGCTAACAATTTACAAAATGCATAACTAAAACTGACTAATGAAGACAGACTATAGATAAATCATGTTGGATAACAATAACTATCCTGAACTTCACAAAATTTCTTTAACTTCACTTTTCTATTCCTCCATCAAACCTCTGTGACACTAGTTTCTGCCGGATTTGAGTTATTAAAACAAAACTTGGAACCAGTTTAGACCTATCCTCTGTAACTAGTGCCATCACAAACCAACTTACCATAGTTACATTTACAAGTAAGCTTGGTTTTCACAGTAAATGCTTTAAGAGAGAACATCTAGATATCTATAAAAGAGGTTTCCACACCTTTGTACTGATATCTGGCATGAGATATCATAACTTCCTTAATAAACTTTTAATTGTGATGATGAAGAAATTATGCTTGAGAGTAATTTGCTATACTAGAAAGATATATGTATATTTCCAATGAAGAAGGCATTTAATTTTTAGAATTCTTTGCTTCCCCCCACATTATCTCTCTACCTACATTTACTGAAATATAATTTGTGCCTTTTGACTTTAATAATTAAAAAATAGGATAAAAAAAGAAACTAGAAAAGCAACAAGTAAACAAACTCACAGCTAAACTTACAGTTGCTTTCAAGAGCAAAACAATCCCAAGATTGGTAGGACAAAAGAAACAACCAAAAAAAGCATGGAAATAAACCAAATAGAGAGCAAAAGAACAATACATAAGATCAACAAATCAAAGAGAATGTTTTTTGACAAAATCGGAAAATAAACTCCCCACTAGCCTAACTAACCAAAAAAGGAGGGAGAAGTTACTAGAGCCTAAAAAGAAAACATTACAACAAAAAGGTCAGACATATAGAGAATTATTAGAAAATATTACAAACTATGATGTGGGAAAAAAAATCAGAGGGTCTAGAAGAAATGGATAGATTTTGGACAAATACAACTCACCAAAACTGAATTGTGAGGGAATTAATACTCTAAATAGATGTATAGAATTGACTGAAATTGAAACAGTAATTAAAGCCCACTCAGCCAAGAAAAGCCCTGGAACAATGACTTCACTGCAGAATTCTAACAATTATTTTAGAAAAAAAAAAAAAAAAGCTTACCTCAATTCTCCACAAGATTTTCCAAGCAGCAGAAAAGAAGGCAATTCTCTCAAGCTTTATATGAAGTCAATATTACCTTAATACCCTGAAGCTCGATAAAGACACTACAAAACAGGAAAAGGAGAGATAGAAATATCCTTGTTGACTATAGATTCAAAGATCCTCAACAAAGTCCTAGCCAACAGGATACAACAGTACATCAGGCAGATAATTCACCAGGACTAGGTGGGATTCAACCCTGGCATGCAGGGATGTGAGAAACTACATTAATAAATTAAAAACTAAAATCACATGTGCATCTCAATAGATGCAAAGAAGGCATATAATGAAATCCATCACCACTTTATGCTGAAAACTCTAAGCAAGATAGTCATAGAAGGAGCAATCTAAAATATACTCAAAGCAATTTATGGCAACACAACGCCAGCATCATACTAAAGTGGAAAAATTATAAGCTTTTGCACTGAGATCTGGAGACAGACAAGGATGTCCAGTATCACCACTGCCGCATTGGGGATAACTGGATAACAGTCTGCAGAGGTAAGAAGCAAGATCCCCCTCATCACCTTATACAAACATCAGTTCAAAATGTGCCAAGAACTTCAACCTGCACCCAGAAATCATCAAACTACTATAGAAAATACTCTCCAAGATATAGCAATGGGGGAAGTCAAAACCAAAATAAATGAATGGGATTAAATCAACTGAAGAAGATTCTGAACAGCAATGAAAACAATTAACAAAGTAAAAAAGCAACCAATAAAATGGGAGAAAATCTTTTCACACTACACAACTGATAGGAGAATATCCAGGATTTACAAAGAGCTTCAGAAACCCAGGGACAATAAAACTAACAAGTAATCTTGTGAAAAAATGGGTGAAGGAAATAAACAGATATTTTTTAAAAGAACAAATTCAAATGGTTACCAGACATATGAAAAGATGCTCAGGTTCCCTAGCCATTAGGAAGATGCAAATGAAAACCGCATTGAAGTACCAGCTAACTCCAGTGAGGTTGGCATACATTCAGAACTGAACTAACAATACCTGAAGGTGTGGACGTGGGGAGAAAGATACCCTCCTTCACTACTGCTTGTAGGGTAGGCTAGTACAAGCACTGTAGAAATAAGTATGGAGAGTGCTTAGAGAACTGCAAATGCACCTGCCATATGGCCCAGTTATCACATCCCTAGGAATATACCCAAAGGAAATGAAAACTACATATGAGAAGGGGGTCTGTAACCCTCTATTTAGAGCAGCAAAGTCTACTATACCAAACACATGGAAACAACCCCATTGCACATACAAAGAGCAGAGGTTAAAGAAACTATGAATATCTACTTCATGGACTATTACTCAGTCATTTAAATAATGAAATTATTCAATTTGCAACCAAGTCATCCCAACTAGAGACTATTACGCTCAGTGTAGTAAATCAATCCCAAATGGACATATGCCCTGTGTTTTCTCTGATAGAAGGCAACCTTAATGCAAGTCATAAGATCAATGGCCCTTTTCAATTGTGTTTTTACTACAATCCATGGGTTTTGATATTTTTACTTTCATATCTTCAAAATAGCTTCTTTTCCCTATGAAATTATTAATTGACTCATACAGTAGCTTCATTTTCTC